ACACACACACACACACGCACACACACACACACACTCACACATTGACTCATAAGTACACAATGGGAAATGCACATTTTTTAATGACTGCGCGGCCTGCACTTGAGGCAACAGCAACAATAACAAAAATCACAACAACAACCAAAATAACAACAACAACAGTAACAGTTCTTGCATTGACGTTGTCAGGACTTGGTGGAGACCCACACACATACACACACACACACATGGGGGGCGAATTTTTATTTTTATTTTGTTGCCCTTCGACTTATGCAAATCGCCATGTGCTTGAGTCGCTTCCTCCGCCTCCTCCTGCCTCTTCATTGCTATTCAATGCATAGTCGCTTCCATTGAGGGTTGTCTGTCTGTCTGTCTGTCTGTCTGTCTGTCTGACTGGCTGACAGAGCCTCAGTTACTCTGACTGAGGCTTTAGCCCTTGCTCTGGTCTGGTCTGGTCTGGCACAGATCTGTCCCCCACCAAACGCAACATTTGCGCAACACCAAATTCTACTAACCTCGAAATTGCCGCCTGGACTTTGGGGCCGCCATATGCGCTGATTTTTTCTCGTTCAACATACATACACTTACTATAGATATGTAGTGTATGTGTAGACATGTTTGTACGTCGTAACACTTTTTCTGCTCGTCGGCTTCTTAGCGCGTTCTGTCATGCCCGCCATGTAATCCGCTTAAGTTCTCGAGAATCGGCACAGCAACATCATCATCATCATCACCATCGTGATCAACATTATGTTGTTCTGTTTGTCATAATACTTTTGTGTAGAGTGTTGCTGGTTGTTCGCTGAATTTTCGTGCTTTCGTTGCTCGCTGTACTTCATTATATTTCAGTTTATTCAACATTACATTTTTCCGGTCGCAAACAATTTGTTTCCCCCTTTAATATTATTTTTTGAGTGTTCCTAATACGCATAGACAATATGAAGAAAATTGCGCACTTATTTCCGTTGTCTATTAAAAATCTCTTAGCCTGCTTCTGTTTCAATTAGTTACACTTTTTAGAAGAAAGGAAATGATGTACTTAAAATAGACACAGACGCGGCATATCTGTCCGACTGTATGAACCGTCAGATCTTACAGTTTTTTTGATCAAAAGTTCCTAGAACAATTCCCCGACTTCTCTGTGAAGTTTTCTTTTCTTCTCAATTAATCTAATCAGTTCAGTTTTAAGAACGATCAAATGCCAGTCAGTTCTTTTGGAGTTTACGATTTCTGAAGTAACCATAAGTTATAATGTACTTAAGACTGTGGTTTCTATACTTTCGATTATCTTGGCTACGTGGCTTATTAAGTCCGTTTAGTTTTCCATCCTCTTTCCTTTCTGTGCTGCGTTTCTAATTAGACAAAGCGCTCCCTTATTGTTGTTCATGCCTCACATCTAATCAAGTTCAGCCAACAATATACACTTACTAACATATCTTGACACTTTTCGTGCGCTTGATAAATTAAGCAAACTACCCAGCACACTGACCCTTCATCCCTCTCCCACTAGCTTCACTGCTTTCCCCCAAATTTGTGCAATTTGGTCACTCGGATGAGGATTTTAAATTTGTCTGCAGTCTCGGTCAATTTTTTGGCTTCGTTTAGCAATAATCACACTCTTGCCAACATTTTGTTTATTGCCCATGACTCATTATCAATCTCACCCTCAAGCATTCCCCCCACAACCACCAGCAATCTATGGCCATGTCTCCAGACATGCTTATCACATCTATCACAGGGAACGACAGCTCCGACTGTTCCGATCGTTATGTACTATAGAATGTACGAGACTGTGTGTCCGCTATTTAAACAAACATTTAATGAACGCCCAGTTGATGAAGCCAACTAAGCGTGCGATTTGCCAGTTCGCTGCTAAAATAACAACAAAGACCGTGTCTAAAGTTTCAGCAAAATTTATTAATTTTGCCCAATTGCCACATAAATTTTGTATTTCATTTTGCTCCACCAGAGCGGGCAGAGCGGGCAGAGCAGGCAGGAGGCAGGCAACATTTGCATATTTTGTTTTAGCAAATTTATGCCCCATAGAGGCACATTTAGGCGGAGCGGGTGAAGACAGGGAATGGGGGAAGGGAGGGGAGATGGCAGCAAAAGTTTGTTCACACGCTGCCCAATGGAGCAGTGGTGCGGCGGTGGTGCTGGTGGTTGGTGGTGCTGCCGGAGGTATCATTGCATGCATAAATGAGCGCTTGATTGCATGAGTAGCTGACTGAATGCTATCATATTCCAGCTCCAAATGCATTTGTTATTAATGAATGCATACTATGTTATGCCAAACTAAATACGAAGGGAGAAATATATAAATTGAAATTGAATTAAATAGTGCAGCATGAATTTGCATTTTGCTTTTGTGCCGAACCGAACAATGCCAGCTGCAACAACAACAAAACTAACAAATAGTTGTGCAATCCAAACAAAACCTAAATGGCAGTGCTTTCAAAACTGTGGCCATATGAAGTTGTTGGCCTTAAAAAAAAAAAGACCGAACTGCATTCACTTGAAATGTTTCCATCAAACGGGCTAATGTGCAACTTTTGTTTCTCTACAAAGCCCTTTTAAATAATAACTTACAAAATAAAGTAGTCCAGTTGCATTATCTTAAAGGTTGAGTTAAAGAAACCATTTTATCGATTGCTAAATTTATTTTATTGCTGCTTTTATCGCGGACTCAAATATTTTAACAATCTTACATTTGTTTTCTTACGCATTCAAGTTACTAATTAAATATATATAACGCATTTTATTGCCCCATAAATAAGTAAAGCGAAGAAGCCAAATAGATTGATGTTTCCAAATAAAGACTAACCGACATTTGTTCGCTTTGAAGGCAATGGATTGTGTTACAAATTGGCTGCAAGAAGGGGAATGGGACGGACTAACAAAGCTAATTAATGGTACAAGCACTTAACTATATTAAAGATAATGAACAGATAATGTTATTTGTGAACGAACTGGCATTTACACAATTTTTGAAGAAAGTATTAAGTTAAATTATTTCTACAACACTTTTCAACACTTTAGTATTATTTAACAACAATAAATTCTTTAGCTGGGGCAAAGAACTACAGCTGATTATTTGTTGAATAGCCAGTCAGCAGCAGTTGTAGTTGACAGTCACCAGACTATTAAATCAAGGCACGAACTATCAATGAAAAGCAGCCAATACCCTCTCCCCCCTCCATCTCCCCATCCCGCCCTTTCTCGCCAACTAAAACGTACTAAATTTTTGGCTGGAAGCCAAACTGCTACAAAAAGCTCTGGAATGGGCAGACAAATAGAAAAATGGTAGCAAATAAAAAGGGACTTTTTAATATGGCCAAAACGCATGTGGCTGGTTGGGCGGGGAAGTGTGACGAGACAAAGGCTGCGCTGGCGCCGCTAACAAAACACACACACACACACACAGACAGATATTATAGACACACACACACACACACACTCACACAGCCACTGGTTGTGTAAATAAGCAAAGTTCATGTCAACACGAGCGCTTGCTAAATGAAAATGTTGGCATAATGTTATCAGAATTGCGGCAAATGGCTTCAACTGCTGTCTGTCAGCTCCGAACTAATTGGTGAGCATAGTCCATAGCCCAAATGGGTGTGCTAACTTCCTAACTATGGCAAACTGATAGCTGAAGTTGGTGTAATAACATTATAGGCAACCGCCGCCATATGTGGACAGTGTGTGGGGGACAGTAGGCGGAAACAGTGTTGGGACATGAGCTCGATTACAAAACAAAAGCAGTTAATATTTTTCGAAATGTTCAAATAATTAGGTAAGGTTGAAAAAGAAAATAAATAGTAGTCATAAAAAAATAGGCAAGAAAATTATTGGAAAATATTTAAAAAATGATTATATTCGAATATTTATAATAAAATACAAAAACATAAAAGGCAAAAGAATTAAGACGAATGCATGTGTATTTAAATAGAAATGAGACAAAGAACTATACATATATAATATAAAATAAAATTTAATAAAAATAATGCAATAATAAGTAAATATATATTTTTTACAAAAGAAAAATAAGCGTATAATTCAAAAAATTACTTGAAACAAAATATATTAAATTAAAATTGCAATCATGAATTTAAGCAAAATTATAATAATAATAATACTTGACTCTTTAAATGCCCATAATACACAAATAGTATTTAGTTTAACTTCCTGGCTGATGATCAAATAAATAAACTGATTGCAGAGGAAGGACTTTTAAAATGTACAAGAATTTGTTTGCTTTCTGGAACATCCATGGGTCTGACTCTGTGTCATGAATTGGAGTGCAAAGAATCCTTTTAACTCGGAAATATCAATATCTAAAACGTGAATATTTCAAACCAACAACTTGAATTCTAAAAAGGATCCTGAAAACTAAGAACGAAGTTATCTTAAAAAACTAAAATTAAACTGGAGCTGAATTAGAACAGATCTTAAGCCTTACAATATCGCACGCTTCATGATAAGCAATCTTCTGATCAAGACAGATTCGTTAGCCCTAGGGTTGCTTTTGGATGCGTTACAAGCTTTGGGTCCATTTGCTTATGCCTCCTACTGTGCTTATTTGCCTTAACGCTTTTCAAAATACGTATAGTTTGCCAGTAAATTGCAAGGCAGCCGAACTGCACTGCGCCTGGCATTATCCAACTCAACTACCAACTATGCAGCGAGGCTCGAGGGCGGCATTTGCATATGTGGTATATACATGTATGTATATATGTACGCCCTACTATATACATACATATATACACGGAGCAGAGTCGCAGCTCAGGGCCTCTGGGCGCTGCACATTGACGATAATTGCATGAAATTATAATGTGGCTCGTGTGTGGGTTTAAGCCATGAAAGTCTGACATGTAATCAAACGTTCGCTAGTTTCTGTTGCTGTTCTGTTTGTTGTTGTTGTTGTTGTTGTTAATTCTGCCATGCTGTCGCACACTTATATTAATTTGTCTCTCCCCACCTCTTTTCTCGCCCACTTGCAGAATCATCAGAATCATCATCGGGGCAGTTCGGGGGACGAGCGCGTGCCACAGCCGCACTCCCCACACGACACCAGCGGCGGCCATCAGAACGGGTCGCTGCAGCATTCGGGATCGCGGGCCACGCTGCGACACTCGATGAATCATTCGAGCACCTCAGCCTCGAGCTCCACACCCGCCTCGCCACAGCTGAGCGGCATTGTGAGCGCCTCGGGCGGACAGCTGCTGTCCAATGGCCATCACTATCAGTCACAGTCGTCGGTGTCATCGTCCTCATCCATCGTGTCGACGATACCGGCTTCGCAGCGTCTCCTGGAGGAGGTATTGGCCAAGCCGGCGCCATATCCGATGATCGTTCGGCCCATGCACGGCGGCTACTGGATGGATGGGACCGAGCACGAGTGCAGTTACGATGCGCGCGGTAATCCTGTGCTCTCGCAGACCACCTGGATGGCCAAGTTCGAGACAGACGACACGGCCAAATGCTATCGACGCTTCTATGTGGCTCGCGAGCACTCCAATCTGGTGGGCCATGATGAGCAGCTGGGTCCGGTGCTCATCTCGATTAAGACGGAGAATGTGGCCAATCAGGAGCATGTCCGTATTCTGCTGCGTCTGCGCACCGGAACAATGCACGAGCTGATTCCGGTCTCCTGCATGGGTCCCCAGCCCAGTCCCGCCAAAATGGTGCGGCTGCTCAACGAGCAGATACAGGTGGACAACTTTATGCCCGTGCTGTGCTCCAAGGCCTCGCAGCTGATTAGCGTCTACGACGAGCATGTCCTTGTCTCGCACTTCAAGTTCGGCGTGCTGTACCAAAGATATGGCCAGACCACAGAGGAGGAGCTGTTCAGCAATAATCAAACATCGCCGGCGTTCGAGGAGTTCCTCGATGTGCTCGGGCAACGCATTCGCCTCAAGGAGCACAAGGGCTATCGTGGTGGGCTGGACATACAGAACGGCCACACTGGCGATACGGCTGTCTATGAGGTATTCAAGGAGCGTGAAGTTATGTTCCATGTTTCCACACTGCTGCCCTACACCGAGGGGGATCCGCAGCAGCTGCAGCGCAAGCGGCACATTGGCAACGACATTGTGGCCATAGTGTTCCAGGAATCGAACACACCCTTCACCCCGGACATGATTGCCAGTCATTTTCTGCACGCCTTCATTGTGGTGCAGGCACTAGAGCCAAATACGCCCCACACCCGCTACAAGGTGAGTGTGACGGCCCGCGATGATGTGCCCTTCTTCGGCCCCACACTGCCCAGTCCGGCGGTCTTTCGCAAGGGTCAGGAGTTCAAGGAGTTTCTGCTGACCAAGCTGATCAACGCGGAGAATGCCTGCTACAAGGCCGAGAAGTTTGCCAAGCTGGAGCTGCGCACGCGCACCTCTCTATTGCAGAATCTGTGCGATGAGCTGAAGGAGAAGACGCGCGATTTCCTCGGCTCCGACTCTTCGCAGGCTCTGACGGGCAGCCCAACGCCCGAGACGCCCAAGTCGGAGAGCAGCCATGCAGGCTCCCGTTTCATCGACACCGTTAAGAAGGTTTGGATCAATCGTACTCGCTCGCAGAGCGTTGACACCGGCAATGGTGCTCCTCCGGATAAATTTAGTGTGAGCACCAAAGGTGGAGCCGCAGCCACGCATTCACATGGCGGCAAGAAGGAGATCCAGGCAGACACGCCCAATGCGGTAAGTTAAAAATATAGCCAGTAAAGAGAAGAACCCACACCTAATTCCCCGTTCTATCTCTCTCTGTCTCTCCCTTGATGCTGCAGTCCTGCAGTCGCACCGCTTCAAAGTCATCTTCGAAGTCGAAGTCCTCTAATGATTCCACATCATCCTCGCCGGACATCACGTCGCGTGGTCCGCTGAGCTTGAACGCCGCCAATACGGCTCATTATCAGAACAACAACAACAATGGCCATCATGTCGCCGGTCCAAATAATGCCAATTCTGGACAGTCGAACGGCGGAGTCGTTGGCGCGGCTACCGCGGCAGTCAATGCGGCCCAGAATGGTGGCATTGTGGGCGTGGCTGTGGCCACCATGTCCGAAACCAGCGATGATTCGTCACTGAACAGCGTGGACTTGGATCCCATAATGGGGCATATGGATGGTGGTGCCGCCTACATAGACAGCGATACGGGTCTGGAGTCGATGAGCTCAGCGGAGGCCACCACCAAGGCCTGCTCGCTGTGTCTGGATGGGGCACAGGGACTGATGGGTTCGTCGCCCAGCAATGAGACCATTATAATGATCGAGAGCCTGCGGCAGGAGGTGACGCGACTAAAGTGCGACAAGCTGGATCTGTTGCGTCAGAATGTGGTAAGTGCCCGTTAAGACGAGGTGTTGTGCGAACTAGTTCCAGCTGTATTTAAATAATTTCTTTTGGGTTAACTAGTGTTTGGTGAACTAGTTACTTTAATCACTTTAATCACTTTAATCGTTAGTTACACTCGCGAAATTGGATTTATTTTGCTAAGTCATTTATTGTGAATTAGCACCAGTTCACTTCGAGTGAATATCAGTTTTTAAGTTCTACTTGTTGAACTGGTTCAGTTTAAATGTCAACTAAATTCGTTGCAATAGTTTTTATTTAACTAAAAATTTTATCGTGGACTTACTTCACCTTTTTTAAGCTTCCATTTAATGAACTAGTTCACTTTGAGTGAATATCAGTTTGGTTGAACAAGTTCCACCTGTTGAACTGGTTCAGTTTAATTGTCAATCAAATTCGTTGCAATAGTTTTTATTTAACTAAACATTTTATCGTGAGCTACTTCAGCTTTTTTAAGCTTCCATTTAATGAACTAGTTCCATTTAATATCAGAATTAAATCCCATTTATTCAACTTTAAAACTAACTCAATTCTCATTTATTCCAGACCTGTCAACGCGACATCAAACGTCTTCGCGAACGCGAACTCTCACTGCAAGGCGATCTGACGGCAGCGGGTCGTGAGATTTTGCGCCTGCGCGATCTGCTCAAGGAGTATATGCCGGACACGGCTACAGCGCCGCTCTCCATATCGCCAATCTAAGCGAGCGATAGCGGAGGCGTCGACGGCAACGGTGGATGCTGTTTGTTAAACATGTGTGTGTTATATGTGTGTGCGTGAGAGTGAAATGTTGTGTGTGTGGAACCACTGTGCCGTGTCTAACACTTGGGCGGGCCTCAGCGGACAGCAAAGCCCGCAGTTTGGAAACGTTGGTCGTGCGCGCATAGCGCCCTAAACAAAGATACAAAATATATAGTATATATACTAAATACGGAAATATAAATCCAATAGAGAAACTGTATTATATTTAGTTTGCATTGCTGCTCAGGCGGTGTTTCTAGGACTAGCAGCAGGCATGCGCCTAATTATTATTTTTATGTTTATGATTATGATTATTATTATTTTAATTAATAACAGTTATGAACTAAACCACAACAACAAACAAACAAACAAACAAAACACAAAACTCAAAAAGTACACCAAAAATATAATTATAAGTCTTTAAGCATATTTAACACAAAAGCAGAAATGAAAGCAAAATACCCTCAAAGTCCCCCTAGATGTAAGCGAGAACGATCAACTTAATGTTAATGCTAATCTCACAGGACATCACAGTTGATGAAACGAAACAGTTAATTCAAATTCATTATAAAAATTAGTAGCCAGCACACAAGTAGCAAAGTTTTGAGGTTTACAAAACCGTCACTCATAGTTCTTGCAACTTCTCAAGCTGCACTCGATTTCTATGCTGGCAACTCTGGTCTTGCAATTGTCCAGCCTGCACTCCAATTCCATGCTGGCAGCCCCATGGCTGCATTCGATCCTGATTCGATTCTGGCAACTGTTTATAAAGTTCTTTATAATTTAGCTCTGTGACTTCCTTTTGTTATCACTTCATTTGAAAACTAATAACTAAAAACTAAACTTTTTACCAGCGATAACTAAATTATAATTTTTAAAATTTAAAAACCATTCGTTAGTTTTGTAGGAGGCAATCGATAAACTCTTAACTTAAGCTTAATTTGCTTTAAATATTTCTACAACAACTACGTTAATAACTTAAGTTCGAATTGAGGAATATTAATACAGCGGTAAAAACAAATGACTCAAAGAAATCGGCGAATGCGTTGTACATACAAACATAATTGTTTAATTATCGATTTAATTAACTATGCTTATTAATGACAAAACTACACGTGTACTATTAATATCAAATAAGCTATTTTGAAACCATGCGCGTATTTAGAGAGCAAGGAAACAACAAACAATGAAATACAAACCGAAATACATATGAAAACATTTCGCAAATTATGTAAGTCAAGTAGTGTTTCTGCTACAAAAAGTAAAACTTATCAAAAACAAAATATGCAAGAAATTACGCAAAGAATTACGGAAAGAGAAAATCAAACACGTATCTATGAATTTTAAGTACACAATTGTTTTTGTTGACAAAGAAGCATTATAATTTTTATTGTGTAAAATACAAAACAAAATATATATAAATATATATATATGCAAAATATATGGAATATATAAATCAACTACAACACTGCTTTCAATTTATTCAAATGTTAGATTAAATGTGGAACAATATCGCGAATTTATTTACTTTTCAGGTGGGAAATTAGAAACCAGTACACACTGAAATTATGATCCGAGATGCCGAAGTTTTCTGCATTAGTCTGCAAACACTATTGACATTTTATTCTGCTATGGAATTTAAGCCATTTTGGGATGATATTTGGACGAAAAATGATTTCATTTATATCCCATCTTTCGAATTTTTTATTGTTTTCCAGCACGGATTTACATGTTAGTTATACATTTTGTACAGACGCCAGGATTCTTTCCTTATGTTCTTAGTCGCATCGATCGATGCTCCGAGCCATAAATATTTACCCAAAGCCATGAATATTTGCAAAATTACTTGCGAATGCAGCATTTTGAAGATGTAGATTGTTGAGTGAGACACTATCTTAATCTTTGTTTATCGTTGATGTCTAAGATTCAACAAGCGTGCCCGATAAATCTGCGAAAATCTAAAATCTGATTTATTGCACTGACGTTATTTATTAAAATTATATTTTCTTATTTGCTTTTCTTTCTAATTGTGTGTCAGCCTTTCAAATTGGCAGTTTTACAGCATACACCTTTTTTAAACTAGGTGGCAGCCTTGTTTTCTCTAACACTGCCACTAATCGGTTAGAGGCAACGTTAGCACTGTGTCATCACTAAGCAATTGCGGCGAGTTGCACATAGTTCCATCGCCATCAGTCTGGCAAAGCTTTGTGGGCGACAAAAGCGATGTCGTTGTCGGCTGCGTCAAAAGTTCGCACAAAAACATAACAATTACTTAATTAACATTAACAAGGAATAGCAGCAGGACGGTCGCCTGCGTTCCGGTCGCAAAAAACAGGCTGCGCGCCTTGGCCTCGCGTTAATTTGCAATCGCTCCTCCTTCATCTTGTGTTTTGGCGCCCGCTGCTGCCTGTAAGTCTAAACATGTAAAACACGTATGAGATAAACATGAATAAATCCCGGATATCTTCAAGTTGAAATCGGTTGCAAAAGTAATAACATTAGCTACATAAGCGCGTAAATGTGCAAGTGTGTGTGGCAATTTTTTTCTTCATTATTACTTCATAACAACGCGCGCGAGAGAGCGGCACTCTCTTCAGTAGCAGCAGCAGCAGCAGCAATAACAACAACAATTGTCAAGCTTTGCGCCTCCAGAGGGTTGTAAATAGCTGTTGTTGTTGCTGTTGCTGTTGTTCTTGTTGTTGTTGTTGTGGTGGTGGTGGTGGCAGCAACCGTTTTGTTGTTCTTCCAGCTGCCCATAGGCGGCCTCCAACTTGACACTTGAGAGCCTTTCTAAGTAAGTAATTATCATTATTATTTATTTATAATAATAATATACTACTAGAGCTATAATAAACGTGTGGTATAGTATGTATTTATTTTGTTAACATGACAAATTAGCAAAGGAATTTGAATTTGTGTGCGCATGCAAATGAATCAAAATTCACAATGCAAACGAATTATTATTGAATAACAACATAGCAACAACAACAACAACAACAATAAAAACAAGCTTACGTGCTCTTTATTATCTCATTGCGCTGCCCTCACGCGCACCTTGCAACGCAGCCTCAGCCTCAGTCACAGCTTAAGCCTAAGCTGAACAACTCAGCTGTTTACGAACTTTCGTTCTATGTAGTACTTGTATGTATGTTTTAATATCCTCAGGAAAGTTGGTTGTTTTTATACTCTGTACATGAAATGTACAAGAGTATATTAGGTTTGCGGGAGCTGAAAAATGTAACAGGCAGAAGGAGGCGTGGCAGACCCCACAAAGTATATATATTCTTGATCAGCATGACGAGACGAGTCGATCTAGCCCTGTCTGTCTGTCTGTCCGTCTGTCCGTCCGTATGAACACCTGGATCTCAGAGACTATAAGAGATAGAGACACCAAATTTTGCACAAAGATGCGTTATGTGTGTATTCTATACGAGTTTGTTTTATTTTTTTGATTTTCCCCCCCACTTCCCCCCTATGGGGGTTTTCCCGATTTTCCATTCGTATAATCGCTTATATCTCGGAGACTATAAGACCTAGGAACACCAAATTTTAGTCCCAGGTGCCTTATGTGAATACGCAGAAAATGTATATTTTGGAATTCCCCTCCCTCCCCCCTCTACCCCGCAAATCGTAACTCCCGTAATTCTTGGAATTTCGAACTAAAATTTTGGAAATACCCCCAGTTAGTTATTATGTGTCCGTATGCCAAATTCATTATGATAGACCGATTTAACAAGAAGTTATAGCCATAAATATATTTGCTGATGCAGCGCTGCTGCAGCGCTGCTCAAGCGCTGCCCGCGGCTGTTGTTGATGTTGCTGTTTGGTTGACTGCGAAAATGCTTACACAGACACGAATAGATGCGCATAGGCATACATACACTCACACAGACGCAATTGCTATGTAAATGTGCAATTATACACCCTTTACGTGAGTTCGAATACCGAGAGAGGTAAAATCGATCAAATTTTTTTTTTATTTTCTTAATTTTTTTATTTTCTATAATTATTGTAAACATATGTACAGAGTATTTCAAAGTCGGGACACCCGACTTTAGCTTTTTTACTTGTTGTTGTTGTTCTTGTTTATGACAAACAGCAATAAAACACCAATTAACAAATGTTTTTGAGCACATCAATGCGATAAGCAGCGAGCCAAGAGGTTACGGTGATGCTTCTGCCGCTGCCACGGATGAGTGGGCGTCGTCGTCGTCGTCGTCGTCGTCGCCGCTGTCTCCGTCTCTGCCAACGCTTGCTGAGACGTTTCTTCACACTTCACTGAATGCCCTGCCGTGAAGAAACTTAGCTACGGCTCGTTGGCAGCCACCGCAGGGTGCACACCTTCAGCCCCACCCCATCCCACCCTATACCCTCTCCGAAACTCGCAATGTACCTGTTACTGTTAATCAGCAGCCAGTCAATTCTCTGAATAGCGATGTCAAGTCAGTCTCGTTGCTCGGTCGATGGTGACGACGCGTTTCTACACAGAACAGCTGATGCGCAGCTTAGTGTTTCTTTCTTATCAAATGGGAAGGGCAATGGGGCAGGTAACGAGAAGCGTCTCTTGCTCCCATCCTCATCCACATTCGGACTCGGCAATGCCGTTGCTAGCCAGTAGTGAGCTTTAGCTTTTTAGACCGTTGCGCTTGGGCTTGGGCTTGGAGTGGCCTTGACTGCAGCACGTGGCAAAGTACACGAAATGTGGCATCAACATTACGATATTCAGATTACTGATTATATAAATACATGCATACGAACGTACATCAAGCATGGTACATACATACATATGTCTATTTATTTATTCACAAACATGCATGCTCATATGTACTATATATGTTTGTACATATACTTGTATAGTATATAGTATTGACGAGTTACTGTCGAATTACTTATGGTTATGTCATTACAACTCTATTCACATGGAACATTAATAACCGCTAGCTTAATTATACATTTTGATAAACATGTTTTCATCGAAATAATACTTCTATTTTTAACGAAGGAAACATAACAATGATAACAAATTTCAGAAGAAAATTTGTTCAAGGGCTTTTTTTTGACAAAAACAAAATAGTTGCAGAACTTTAATTATTATAGCTCACGTATTTTGCCATTTTCAGCGTTCATATTTGTTGCTGAATTCTAAAATAGAAAGATGTAGATGTTTCGAATTCGTTTGTATGTATGCGACTTTACCTTTTTTACATATAGTTCAATAATGTTATATGCATTATTTAACACACTTTCGAAATTTGTTTTGCTCTCCCAAAGTATTCCTCGAATCGACTTCTTATTTTGAAGAATGATTGTAGTCGAAACTTATGTTTGAAGCCTCAATTTTCTATCATATGCTTACGTTTATTTTGATCATAAAGTAGAGAGCTTGTTTTCGAAGTATCACTAACCTAACAAACATTTAAAAACCATTTCGATTTTGATTTACATATATTCAATGGCTTTAAAACTATTTGCAGCTTCAAATTCTAGAACAATTTATAGAGCGCAAACCTATAAAAATATCGTTTCATAATCGGGTCAATAGGCTGTTCGATTTAAAATGATTTTCTTCTACACTAACATCTTTCAAGTAAAGTTGTAAAAATTAGAGAACTTTGAAACCCACTTGCTAGATCTATTCGAAAGATGAAGTTGTGGAAATTAATTTCCCATTTCTGTAGTTATTTATTAAAAAATATGCCTAAGCTCTATATAGTAACTTTGAAAGCGTCTCGTAAGAGTTAAAGGTAGTGAAACAACCCTGATTGCTTTCCGCAAAGTTCATAAATTATCTGGCATATGCTTGGTAATATTCTCGTACTACTTATATACGAATATTTATCCACCTTATCTATTTTTTGTAGACATCTAGTTCTTTATTACCCTCCAAAATAGCTGGTAATGGGAGGAGTTCCCAGTGTAGTGACTGAAGTGCTTGAACTGGTATGCAATTCAGAGTGTATATACATCGCATGCTATATCAGACACTATAACTCACCCATTATCTCGACTTTCAGTCGCTTTAAAGCTGTGCCGTACACAGCTTGTGCGATTTGTGGCCCCAGGCCCTCTCCGTTTAACCCACTTCTATATTATTTTTCAGCACCTTTAACTCAATTAAAACAAAAGCACACAAAAGGCACACGTGTAAATAAGTGAAGAATATAGAGGAAAAGCCATTAAGAGCGACCAGAAGCGAATTCAAGTGAAAGCCAAAGCGCCACACAAAATATGGTCTGAGTTTTTCGGGAAACGGGTTGCGGTCGCTGGAACGGGGAGCCACATATTTCAAGTGTATAAGATAGCAACATAATTTTAATTACAATAACCAAACACACACACACACACACATACATACACACACGTACACGCAAGCCGCAGCTACAACAACAACAAGAACAACAACAATAACGACGACGGCAATAATACCATCAAGTAATTCCTTCCCCTTCCCCATCCAATTCTCCCTCGCCTCCTCCAACCGCTCACATAGTCACACTTTATTTAACCCATGACATACAAAACCCAAAGCGCTAATAGACGACGATGACTCCTAAGGGTGCTACGGGTGTGCGTGTGGCACCATCTCCCCACGCCCTCTTCCCCCCCTCCATCCTCGCCTACTTACTACCTGTACTGCGCCCACATTCCTTTTTGGAAGTTCGCTGAGATGGCGCCGCCGCCGCCGCCACCCTCCTCCTCGTCGTCGCTCTATAAATAAATCTCATTAATAAATTAAAACATTTTAGCGCAGAATGTTGTCTGTCTGTCTATCTAGCCGCCCCTCCATGTGTAGAGCTTGTGTAGCCATGCATGTGCGAGTACCTACAGTGCCACCCAATAGAATAGACACGCTGCCTTCCAATTCGATTCATAATTAAGGGATCTGTATTCAGTCCAGCATTGTAGTATAATCGACACTTTCTAATATTTTCAAAATCCATTTCGAATCGCAAACATTACAGTTATTTTTACATCTATATATATTTAATATCTAAGTTGTAAATAAATATACAGATTTTCATTTGAAAATCGGAATGTTTCATTAATAATCTAATATCAGGACTGTTTCGTATTAGGATCTGCATATCAAGTAATCGCGATTTTTGTTTTCTTATCAACAAACGTTTATCTTTAACTTTTGGTTTCATTGCAACGTTTTTATTTAACAGGCGCATCTAATATTTATTAATATAACGAATTATATAACGAGTTATACCACGCGCAGATTTGAAAACAATTGTAGCCAAAATAAGAAATCGCTTAAATCGAATAAATATTACAAATTAAAATCTTAACCACAGCTATGGACATTAATTTCATAAAATGACATCATGAAATGTTTTTCAATATATGTATCATTAAATTAAACTGAGAGAGTTTCACTTTTTGAGCACAAAAAAATAACCGTATAATAATATAATATAATATATATATTTAATTATTTAATAGTTAGTCCAAAGACCCGACGCTTAGCTGTTATTACACTATTAATGCTTCGGCATACTTCTAGTAGTTTTTCAATAATTTCGTGTGAAATATTTTTCCTAATTTAGAGCACACACATTACATAAATAGGTACACTTTAGAAATTACTTTAATTATTGTTCTTCATTAAAGGTTACATAGTTAAATATTTAATGTTTATAGTTATAAGACAAACAGTCCTGTACTGATACTGAGGCCCTAGAAGCTATTGTTCCGTTAAATTTGGGAAACTGGGAACCAGAACTCAAGCTAGTGTCATGCTTGCTATTTAAAATATAAATGTTCAGTAAATCCTTTTCAAAAATAGGG